CTTCTCCAACACGGTGGGGCTCTAAAGCATGTTTCTGAGCAGTGCACTGATGCCATAGAGAGCTGCCTTTGCCTAATGGAAAATTGCAAGAGTGGAAGCAAGAAACAGTGGTTGTTTTCCCTCTCTCCCCACCATTGCCCCTCCTTTCCTGACTATAAATGTGTGAAAATCCATGCCAGCACTTTTGTTGGAATGCCTACCTGGGGCCTCGCTTTTGACCCCTTCTCACATATCCCATGGCAAAATGCTGCAGAAGTAATTGTTGCTTCCAGGAACATGAGAGGTTGTAGATTCTCAGCACTTAAAGACTGACTTTTTCAAGAATCATTGCCTAGTGGCTAAGAAATAAGGGGGAATATGGTGTAGGACACCTCCTCCAGGATTTACAGCAGGGCTAACGAGCACTGCTCTCTCCTCCTATGGTTTGAAAGGATCCAGTCTGGAGCTTTGCCCCATGGGTGCAGGCACATGGCAATTCATGACACACACACACACACACACACCCCCAGACAGAAAGATGGTATAAACTGGCATTAAAAAAATTGTGTTGGTAGATATATGAGCTCACAATTGTAACAACCTGGTCTAACAAAATGATTCAGGCTTGATGTAAGGAAAAAATTCTTTACAATGAGGGTGGTAAAACACTGGTACAGGTTGCCCAGAGAGATGGTGGATGTGCTGTTCCTGGAGACATTTAAGGCCAGGCTGGATGTGGTTCTGGGCAACCTGATGTCCCTGCTTATGGCAGGCGGATTGGGCTAGATGACCTTTGAAGGTCCCTTCCAACCCAGACTATTCTATCATTCTATGATTTCAGGTTTGTAAACAATCCCTTGTGGTGTGGCTATCCAGCTCTTGTGGGGCTGCCCTGATGCGTAACCCACAAACAAGGCAAATGGCCATAAGGCATTGCTCTCAAAGTATGTTAAATCATTTCTGCTCACATGCAACACAAAGTTAGAGCCGAGGATGGCTGAGGCTGTGGCACTGGCTGCTTGAGGAGTAATTGCATCTGCTTTTTTATGCTGCATTAGAGCACGTGAGAGCAGCCTGCAGCAACAAGGGATGGGAAGTTGGCAGCAGTCAGGGTTCAGCCTGCTTTTACCTCCTTGTCAGCTGAAGGTGAAGCAGCAACTGCTTTCCTTTGATTTTGCCTCTGTAATTAGCTATAGCAGTGCATCCACTCTACATGACCACGGGCTCTGCTCTCAGCTGTGAGCACACACATGCCCCAGTCCTGTGGGGGACACCACCAATGGACACCCAAAGTGACCTATGGCAGGGCTGCTAGCTCCTAAGCGCTCTGCTCTTATGGCAATATTATAGGCATATTATGGGACAGTTCTGTAAGATGAGGAGCTCCCTTCAGTATCAGTGGTGCACATGAGAAATTGGGGTGCTCGGCATAGTTTTTCTGTGTCTTTTTGCTCTGATCATATCGCAGAAGATGGAGCTGCCGTAGGCAACTAAACTCCAGGGTAACCTGGGTTATTCTGGGCAGCTTAATATGTGGATTCAGAGTGGGAATACCATATAGTGCGGGATTTCATGGTATGTTGTGTGGTGCAGCTCTGTGTCAGCAGCACCACTGCACAGGGGATGCTGGAGAAGGGCCTTTTTGCAAAGCATACTTCCCCCTCTCCACCTCCTCCCCTCTAAATACTGACAGTGCAGAGCGGGGAGATGTGCCAAAGTATATTTTGACTTGAAGAGCATTCATCTGTCACTGCTGCAGTCCCAAGGCAGGGCTGGGCCGTGTGGATACGTAGTGAAATAGGACCCGGTGGATGCCTGTACATTAGGAAGAGAGACAGAGATCCGTGACGATATCAACATTTTATTCTTGCTTAGCCATCTACAGGAGGCCCAGCTATCACTGGCTTGCCAGGGCCTCTGAAGCTCTGGTTGCAGAGAGAGAGCACTGCTTGCACAGAAAGTTATTAAGGCAAAGATGCTAGGTAGTAAAATGGGAATATTTACAGCACCAAATGAACAGAAGAAAGGTTTTAGCATCTTTGTCCTGAGGCTGTACCTTATTGAGGAGTGCATGCAGCTGTATCTGGCAAAATAAAGCAAGAAAAAGGAGGGTGGGTGGATTTTTATTCCTCATCCTGATAAAGTCGCTTGAGGGGCTAATGAAGGGCTGCAGAGTACCAAGCTGGTGTGTTTCTTTTCAGACAGAAAAGCCCTAAGAAATGCAGCCTTTCCTAAATGTCATAAAGGTCTGTGAATAGATCCTGTGACAGGGCACGATCCAGTGATTCCTCAGAATGAAAGGTCAATCAAAGGAAAATGGCACCTGGGAGAACCAATCTTCCTGCTGACCCAAACATGTGACGGATCCAGAAGCAAGTCTGGTGCCATCGGGAAAGCTGCTTCTGCAGCCTGCCCCAGTGAGGCACATGACGTGACTGGGAAACTATCTGATTCCTCCGGGTCTCAGAATTCATCAGGAGTCAACCTGAATGTCGGAAGGAAAAGGATTTTGAAGGAGCTACAGCAGGCTTCCAAGTCAGGAGGAGGGTGCTGTCTCTCCAATGTCCCTGCTTGCCCTGCACCAAACATTTTTCCCTAGCACTAATTATAGATCTGTTTTTGCTATTTGAATATGCAAGGAGTAGTATCCTGGCTCACGAGTAGATTGCAATGAAGCTACTCTTAAAGTCTGGTTTGGTTTAGTAGGGCTCTAAGGCAGAAAGACCTCTCCAAGGGCCAACCCAGAATTTCAACAAGGCCGTGGAATTGTCTGGGCATTTCTGTTCCTTTACACTGAGTGGAACGCTGCACTATGTAGGGAAATGTAGCAGGATTTTGGGCTGGATCCTCACATGGTGTTGGTGAATTCTGCTTTATCAAAGCCAAAGACACATACACACCATCCTCCCGATGGGTGGATTTTCTCTTTAAAACACTCAGCATCATGACTTGTGTCAGATCAGCATTCAAAGAATCTTGGCATTATCTCTCCATCCACAGAGCTGGAACGTTCTCATAGCAGCCTTCCAGTATCTGAAGGGGGCCTATAGGGATGCTGGGGAGGGACTCTTCATTAGGGACTGTAGTGACAGGACAAGGGGTAATAAGCTCAAACTTAAACAGGGGAAGTTTAGATTGGATATAAGGAAGAAGTTCTTTACTGTGAGGGTGGTGAGGCACTGGAATGGGTTGCCCAGGGAAGCTGTGAATGCTTCATCCCTGGCGGTGTTCAAGGCCAGGTTGGATGGAGTCTTGGGTGACATGGTTTAGTGTGAGGTGTCCCTGCCCATGGCAGGGGGGGCTGGAACCAGATGATCTTAAGGTCCTTTCCAACTCTTAACTATTCTATGATTCTATGATTCTGTGCGCTGCTGGATGGGCAGGATTTCTCATGGTGTTTTGCCAGTGCCCTTGAAGTATGGGAGGGCACTGTCACTCTCAAGATGCGGTCCCAATGGTGTCTGAAGGAGTAATACAGAGATGAGTGTTATTTTTGCCAGGGACTGACTTCTTTAGAGTAAGTACTCTCAAGATGCCCACTTTGGGTCTTGAGTAGTTCATCAGGATCTGAATGTGTCTAAGACCCATTGGTTTAACTAGGCTCTTAGTTGAAATAATTAATGAGTTTCAATCTAGTTCATGACTCTCTTCTCAGCTTGAGCAGCACGTCTGCTCTCCAACAAAGCTGCAAAATTCATGGGTGAGATTCAGCATGAGTAACTGCCACAGCAGTTCTGTAGTCACTCAGGAGCTGGACTGTATGTGCTGCCTTAGTCATGCTGGGGAAAATTCATACAGGCATTGGAATAACAGGAATTAGTCATGAGGAAGTGCAAATAAAAGCTCTGTATCTTATCCCGTGTGAGTCCAATGCTGCAAAACACTAGGAACAGGAGTCAAACATGAGGGAACGGTTCCAAACCCCACAAACAGCTTGTGGGTTTTGGGTGCAACTCGGCATCAGCAATCCTTAGCAAAACATTTTGTCCTTATGCAAGAGCAGAGCATTTATTATCACACCCATTAATAGGTTGTTCTGGGAAGAGCATTGCTATTGCAGTTTGTGTGGGGAACTTGTGCAATGAAAAGGCAGAAAAGGCAGATGCAGGAGAAAGACTGCTTCAGCTTTTCAGAGCCTTGGGAAGAAATTCCCGTTTAATTCAGCTGTGGGACCATTCCCACTGCTGGAATCTTTATCACTTCTGTTTTCTGAGTGTTGGCCTATCCAAGAGCATCCTGTTATCGAATGGCAAACAGTGTGCTCACTCTGTGGCATTCCAGGGACACTCTGTTTTGCATGAAATTATCACGTTTAACAAAGAACAAATATTTGTCAGTTGGGTCAGACCAGCAGGGTTGCTAAGGGAGTTTATGAAAATACCCTCTTTTGGACTGTAAGCAATGTTAACGTGTCAGGTTATGCTGTCTTTTGGTGAAGTGCTACCCAATGAATGCTTTGTGTCCAACAACTGCAGGCTCATGCATCTCAGAAAAAAACCATCTGGTGACTATTAAGGGGAATTACTGTACATACAACATGAAAGGATTGAAACATGGGGGGGTGAGGGGGCAGTGTTTTGTTTTAAGTGCCAGTGCTGTTACTAATTTTGCCTTCAGGATAGGTGTTGAGTTTAAAACAACTACAGTTGCTCTACCAAATACAGCTGAACATTTTGTGTGTTGGCCTCCTCCTTGCTATAGTAAAATGAGGGTGCTTTGGAAAAGCAAAGAATCAGGCTTCCCTGGTGGATTAGCATGAGCTGATGATGATGGCAAGGCTACAGCTTCATGTCTTGCACAAAGCAATATCTCTGTTGTTTTATCCTTCTGTAATTGCCTGTATTTTAGCCTTGATTGTAAGTGATTTTTGGTAAGCACCTTTCACTTTATCTCTGTGTAAAAGTCAGTGTAATAGCCTGATTGATGACTTGTCTTTAAATCAGTTCTATGTCACTAGCAAAAGCAATAACAGCTCACTAGCAAAAGCAATAACAGCTTCTCCTCTCTCTGTTCTTCCTTAGGCCCCCCAAGGATTGCAGATAAAGTGATTCACCGCCAGTCCGTGAGGCTAGGGAGGACCATCAAGCTCCTGTGCCCAGTGGAGGGTGACCCCCCACCCCTCACTATGTGGATGAAGGATGGCCGCACTATCCACAGCGGCTGGACAAGGTTCCGAATCCTTCAGCAAGGGCTGAAAATTAAGGAGGTGGAAAGTGAGGATGCGGGGACCTACATTTGCAAAGCCACCAATGGCTTTGGCAGCACCAATGTGAACTACACCCTCATCGTGATTGGTGAGTAGGGCTGGAGAAAAGCCAGGCTTCACCTACTCTGGGGTATGAGAGCAAGCTGATTTCTGTGTAGCTGTCAGTGACTGTAGATTTGCTTTGCTAATCATTTACTGACCTCCACTCTTAACTGGCCCTTTCCAGTGTTTGAGGATTGCCAGAGCTGGCTATGTTGCTGCACATCTTCTGCTGCAGCCAGCTGCAGGCAGATAAGATTACGCAGTGCCAAAGGTTACAAATAAACAGGAATGATGCAATAGTCACTAGGGTCCAGATCACAATGAATTCCACACAGGAAAGGCTGTGTGATAAGGAGAGGTCACGCTGATCTTTATGTTTGCTGTTGTAGTTCTCAAAACAAATGTTGAGGCACCCGTATAAAGGCATAGAGCTGGAAGATCCATGCATTGAGCTTTTGCAAAGCATGGTGTCTTTGGGAATAATAATATCAAGGTTGAAATGAAGCTCAGAGCTGGCATATGACCCAGGGATGTGCAGCTCCTGAGAAATCTCCTTGATGGAGGCAGGATTAAAAAAGCGTCAGATCCTGTCTTGGTGACCATGGTTTCACAGGCTGTGCTTTTGAGCATCTTCAAAGGGCTTGCTTGGCCTGGCAATGGGATTTTGGGGTTATCTTCTGGGCTGGGAATTCCTGAAGGCCCCAAAGATGCTTCTTTGGATAATCAGAGATTCTGCTGCTGTGCCTGTCATGGAAATACGCTCATTGGTCCTTGTCTGTGAGAAGGGAAAGAGCTGGATGAGAATGTGATGCTGAAAGATGCTGAGGGAATAGAGAGGGTTACAAAGCAGGGGGTGAGATTACGTATTGCTCATCCTATTGCCTCGTTAGCATTCCAAGTATATGGTCTACAACGTTCTGTTTCTCACAGACAGTGGAAGAGAGGATAGAGTTTAGGGCATTTGCCATCTGCCTACTGGTTGGCACTTGGCCTGGTTTTGTTCTGTTTCTCCTTCTTCCCCTTTGCAGTAGGAGTGCTGCTATGGACTCAGAGCATGTAGCAGACACTTGGTGCTGCTTGATGGAGGATTATCACCTGATAACAAGGTGATTCTTGGAGAATGCACTTTGCTACAAAGGCAGTAAGGGAAATAGACCAGAATGTGAAAGTCTTATCAGGAAAGAGATGTTTAGGTGAGGGAAAGCCTCTCGTGACATGACTCCTGTAGCATCAATGGGAGAGAGCCACAAAAACCATCTTATAGTTTATATGCTTTGCAGATTTGTTTTTTCTCATTCATCTCTTTCCTGTACATGTTCATCATCTTTGCTACAGTGAACAAAGTGGATATAATCTATAAAGTGTCATGTCTATACAGACTTATTTTGGACGTGCTTTCCAGATGGTTTGGTGAAGAGAAAGAAATGCTGCAAGAGCCTGCTTCACTCCTGCTTGTGCTTTTGCAGTATGTGGAGGCTGCCAAAGGTTTTGAACTTCTGTGTCATCCAGCATCTTTTGTAAAGCTCAGAGCCCAAGCCACATCCCGTTGTTCCAAGGCAAAGAGGCACTGAGGTATCTGTGAGTCAAAGAAGGCTCTGACTATTCTTGGTAGCACAACAGAAACAAATGAAAGGGAAAAGCTGGAAGCAGAGGGTAAAAGTTGGACTAGAATTCAGGAAAGATTGAGGCAAAACCTCCAATTCAGTTGCTTGGGGAAATGGGATTATCAAATTTAATTGTGTTAAGAACAATAGTGTTCATTATATTTGGCACTGAAAAGCCCTGGGCGCAAACACTACTTATTTACAGCCTCATCGGGCAGCTATGGAAGGAAATGGCAAGCTCCCGCTGGTCTGCTGTGGGTGTGAGGTTGAGCCCTATGCAAACAAAAATTGGTCACCAAGTGCCAAGAAAAGGGTAACTTTAAACTAAAAGTGTGGCAGACATATGGGCTCGGTTATCATTCATCTCCACGCGTCCTTGTTGTAATGCTGCTTAACCCCCATACTTCTTAGCCTCTGTGCACCTTCCTTCTTTGACTGACTGTGTACCCTTGTGCACTGCTGCTGCTCAAACCATTTTCGATGGATTGCTTATGTCCCTTTTCTCCAGTGGTACAGAATGTGTTCATGTAATGTTTCAGACCAATTGCTCTTCACTAGAGCAATTTCCCCTGAAAACAAATGTTCCTTCACTGTCTTTCTTGCCAAAGTCTGCAAGTAAACACAAGGTATCACTGACTTATTCTTTCAAGGGACCCAAACGTTTAATGTGTTGACCAGATGCTTGTGTTCGTCTTGGTGAAAATGCTTTTGGTTGAGAGCAAATTAATCCTTTGTTGACTTTTGAGGAGGCAGTGATTTAAAACCAACTGCATGTCAGTTTTGAGGATGAAGATCAAATTGATGGAGCTGTTTTGCTTGTGCCCCAGAAAGCACAAACTTCATTAGGCTGAGTGGCTTTTTGAACCATATGGCCTCTTTATTCTCCCACTCCTTCAAAGGAGAAAAAGCCCTCTTATTCCAACTTTACTGCTGACACCAAACATGTAAACCCATGCAGGTGTCAGACATGGGAAAGGTGTTTAAGATATTAAATCTAGAATAGCGTTAAAGGGTTTGTTAAATGTTGGACCTTGGAAAAGATAAAACTCTTTTGACATTAAAACATCCTGGAAACTTAAGGAATAATATTTGGAATTGGTACAGTAGCTTATTGAAAGGTTTTGGACTTACCCTACATGCTTTTAACGGAGCTCTGCCACACTGCTGGAAATGTCACACCTGTGTTATACACGTGTACACTGCAACAGGATAAGATGAAGGTTTACCCAAGGTTCTACAAAAAGCTGAGACTAAAGTTCAGCAGCCCTGAGCCTCTCTGCCTGCGTTCAATGCTATACAACTCTTATTAATCTTAGCTCTGTAATCTGTTATTGTATAGGGAACCAACAAAAACTGTGACATGGTACATAGGAATAAGAAGGGCAATGGTTCCACCAACGTTAATGGGTGCTGGCAGACATGGCAAAGATGTGCTCCTTGTCTCCGTTGCAGGTCGGTCTCTGTGAGGTGTATTAATTTTGGTATAAGCCTGTTTGAATGTTGCTTTGTGGCTTTCATGACTGATCTTGCTTGCAAGCAGCCAGCTCAGGGAATGAGCAGAGCAAACTTAAGTCTGCCTCTGCATGTCTGGTAGACATACCTACATGTTGCCTGGACAGAGAACTTCTCAGTCTGCAAGTGTGGATGAGACAGATTACTGTGATTTTACAACAGTAACTAAGGCAAAGAGAGACCAGGTGATTAGTCCAAGGCCACATAAACTATGAGCTGTGGCTCAGAGTTGAGTCTAAACCTCTTAACTCTTATCCTAAAAAACTGTTCCTCCATCACTTTCTAAACTCTTTTCTTACTAATTTAGCATCTTTGTGCTGCTGTGTTGGAAGGGAGTCTTCTCTAGGTTTTTGATCTTCTTTCTCACACAAAGGTTTTGCCAACCCAGATGGCAGCAATTGGTTTCTGCCCTGCTTATTTCCCCATCTTCTCAGATGATGGGGCCTGGATCCCAAAGATCCAAGGAATCCTTCTCTAATACATCCCTGCATGAAATGTAAGCCAGTAAAAGCAGATAACCAATATAAGTCAAATTTACAATTTCCTCTCCTAGCCAGCCTTAATAGTTTTTGTGGCTTACCACAAGATTTGGGATGCCAATTACACTGCAGACAGATTTACAAATGCTGGAAGAGGAACTTCTCTTTAATCAGTATTAAATCAGTAGTGCAGTTATTAAGCACAATAGTTCCTTTTTGTGGAGAATTATCTGTAGCTCATCAAAACAAATGTGCTGTACCTTTCCAGAAAGTTATTTGTACAGTGATGCCCATGAAAATCTTGTCTTTAAGGGTTTTTTCCCCAGCTGAATCAATTCAGAAGAGCTGATTTATGATCTGCAGGTGTGAAAAAGTTACTTTATTTGGGTTTTAGATGCTTGGTTGAAACCTGTGGTTTCTTTACTGCGGAATAAAACTCCCTTGCCAGTGTGCTCTAAAAGGAAGCCTGAGGTCAAAGAGGAAGAAACACAGCATTTGAATAGCTGCTCACTGTTTGAAAACTGCCCACCTTGTGTGCTGTATGGAGGTATGCTTTGCAGAGAAAAGTAGCATGTGATGATGCAAAACTGAAGCCTGTATCAGGCTGTGGCCAGCTTAGAGAAACTGAGGTTTCATATATGGAGCCATCACACGCTCCAGCCAACAGGTCATCCTGGGAAATCTTAGCCTAAATAGGTGAGATTCGCCTGACTTATAAATAACTGAAAACAAAGTCTTCTAATAAGGAAGTGCTGGACAACCTTCACTGCCGTCTCTTGCAATTGCTGTTTATTATTGCAATAATAAACAGCATCACTTGTTCCAGAGGCCTGGTCATTCTCTGAAAGGAAGATTGTTGGTGAACAGCTGTAGGAAGGACTATTAGTAAATATTTATGCTGTAGCATAATGACCTCTTTCACTAATGCTCAACACAGAGGACTTTTCACTTGCAGAAGTGTTATGGGCCAAGTCCTGCTAGGTGTGCCAGCATTGCAACATGCAGGGCTATTGCTACAGGTGCTTCCAGTAAATACTTCATCTTGCATCAGTTGCTCAACCAAGTGATGAAAGATCCAGCTCTCTATTTTCGCATCTGCCTGCATGTTTCTTATAACCTTCTGCAGCAAAGAAAAAGGAAGCAGCGACAAGAGAAGGGTTTGGGATTGTCTTTGCACTGTCGACTTCTTGCTTTGCTTAGGGTTTGTAAACTGCCAAAGACAAATCTTGCTTGTGTGCATGTCAGCACAAGAAAGATCAACATTTAAATCCAAGGAACAGCTGCTCCAGTGTTTCTCCTTCTTGCCCCATGTCTCTGACTGTGGCAATTGCTTTTGCTTTTCTTCGGATTTATTTGGAGGACGGTTTTGGTGAAGAACCCATCATCCATCCAGTCCATACACCCTCTTGTGCCTGGCCCTCTGAGAGACTGAGCCACTTGGCTCCATTTGG